TTTCTGACGACGGCGACAACGACAACGACAACAACAACGACAAGGATGATGATGATGATGACGAGTCCTGTTGAGTTGTTGGCAGTGACAAGTGTTGTGGTGGCGGTGGTGATGGTATTTTGTTTAATGGGGCACTCACAGTTCAGAGGACAGTGACAAATGATGACGACGGATGGGTATACATTGGTAGGAGGTGAACATAGGTAGTTTTGGGGTGATAGGTGGCTAAGTAAAGTTTCTTAGGCAAAACGTGGCAAAACAACCTGTATGAAATGTATATCGTTTTTAATTTTTGTGGATCAATTACTTCGGTTTCTGCCGTTGCTGTTGTTGTGCTGCTTGGTAATCTTTTGAAACAGTTGAACATTGTACGGAATAAGGAAGGTAGTGCATATTTTAAGCAATCTTTATTATCCGTCTTGGCTGACCTCTGCGGTTCGCTGTTAGAGAAGAAAAAAGTAAGAGAGGAGAACGGACAGGAAAGGCGGTACATTTTTTACCCTCATGCTGCTGTGCATTGCAACTCTACACGTCTATTACTAATGACAAATAGAAAGATGGAGAGGTATACCGCTGAGGCGATCAAAATTCGGCTGCTATGTGTCAGTCTTACCACCTTCTGATACAGCTTTTGGCTCTCTTCTCGTATAACAAAATTTGTCGGCAGCGATCGGCTGACTTTGTCGCTAATACTATGGTTACCCATATTACTGTTGTTTAAAGTAAGGGAAGAAGAAAAAATGAATGTATTTTGTTGTTCAGCCTGTTTTTTGTTTCACCATTAAACCAATGAAGGAAGATTTTTGATTTATATGTGTACATATGACTTATCTTGTACTGATCGAAAGCTTGTGCTAAAGAAAATGACTTATTCTGCAGCAAGTCTATTTCAACGTTATTCTTAACGCGATTAAGTGTACTTTTTAGGTTGAAATGGCAGGAAAAATTTATTTATTCGGGAAGATGATTTTTTTTACTTTTTTGTCTTTTTAGTCTTTGTTAGACAGTGTCTCAGAATCGGCGCTGCATTGTCGTTATATGATGCTTTATTTGCGGCTCTAAAAATAAATAAATAAATAAATATATATATATATATATATATAAATTCTCGAGATTTCCAAATTATTTTTATGAGCTGATGGGAGACCACTAGAAAATGTCTTTAGTGCGTGGCGTATGATTATCATACTACTAGTGAAATGGATCAAATAACAACATTGAATTGGATTTTGTTTTCCTTCTGATTGAGAATTAAAGGTTTTCAGAGCATGCAAACTCTACAGAGTATTTGGACTCCACAGTTGACAGAATATATTCAAGCATTTGTCAAAATGTTAACACCGGATTGTTGCGTATTTGGTCACAGTCTTTGGAACACTTAGGTTTCGACAACTTCCTGAGTGGTTAAATGCCGATATAAGGTTATTTTTTGTTAGATTTCTGACAGTTAGTGAAGCTAACCGGAGCAATTAAAAACTTGTCAGTAGATCGTCAAGAATTTCATATACTTGAACAATTACAACAATTTTTATTTTACTTTGAATAGTTTTCTCAAGTTTCCTTTCTTGCAAAAGGAAGGTGCGTTACACGCAAATCTACGACACAGAATCTGAAGGAACAGGCAGAAGGCAGTTAATAACAAACAGAACATTTATTTTCAGTTACTGAAGGATTCTTAACGACCAATTTTTCACTTTCTTAGGATCTGTTAAAAATTCCTCAAACAGTATTTTACATTCTGTTACGAGATGCCTCAAAGTTATCGAACCGTAACAATCAGTTCATGTTCTACCTTCTATCTTCAGTAATTGTCGTGTGTCGTACAGTTTTTTTATCTTACTTAAACAAATGAATGCGGTTTAACTTTGTCATCCCTGTGGTGCCGCACTTATATTTTTTAAAATCTGATCTTACCGCTTGCAAAGACAGACACTAAATAGTTACTGCGAGGAGAAATTTCAATACATTCTTCTGTGACCACTACTGCCCGATAAATTGCAGCATCAACAACGTACAATAGTCTTGTTGGCATTGTTTTAAGAAATTATTTGATTGACTGTGTTGGATTTTACCGGTCTCCAAATAACTACTTATCATAACATTAAGTCTTCAAACGATTCAGGAACAATCTTTCCTGGTGGCGAAAAAATTTGCACTTTTTACGTGATAACAATTGTATACCACTTTTATCAGCAGATAAAAAGAAAGAGAAGAAAAAACTAGACAGATTAATGTTTTATACATTCAACTTGTTGAGAATACCAGTTGATGGTGGGAAAAGAAGTGATTTGTATATATATCGCTAAATACCTCAGGACAAGTTGAATAAACTAGAATAACGTAGTCAAGAGGTTTAAAACCACGAAAAACTTAAGGCCACTGTTGCATTTTCACAAGTATACAGAATTGGGTAAATTTTTTTAGCTTTCAACTATTGCTTTCGAGTGATACAAAGGACAACGGAACATTACGGTCAATTGTTGATAGCAGTTTATTTGAAATCGTCATCGACTGTTTTGAACATCGCCGTTATTATCTATTGTCAGACGAGGAGAGGAGGAAAGCGTGGGGGTGGGGGAGGAGGTTGGAAAGCTGAGCGAAAAAAAGATACCTAATTTATTCATATTGCTGCTGCTATACAGCACCTACTAATCAGTTAATTTTGTTGAATGTTTGTAAAATACTACCTAAATATTTAGCAGTAAAAGGAAAGACAGAGAACGGAGGATATAAAAAATTAAGAGAA